AACTAGTGCGACTGAGGTGAAGAAACTGCGTGCATCGGTGTTTCCAAAGTGAAAAAAGGCTTCGAAAAAGCGTTAAAAAGGGGGCTAGACGAGAATGAAACCAGAAAAATGAAGAAGAGTGGGGTGTCGGACGAGCTAAACAGTGTGTTTCACTGCGCGCGTGTGGTTCCTGGTGCGAATAACAGTCAACGGTAAGAAAAAATCCATTCACTTTCAAGCATAAATAAACTTAAAAACTCTAGTGACGGCAAAAGTAGCTCACCTTTTTCAGCCTCTAGGAGTAGGAAATTAAATAAGGGATCGCGGCAGCAAAAAGAAAAACAGAGGAAAAAAGAATGGGAGAAAAACGTCGCGTCAACACTCGGCGATTAGCTGATTGTGCGTGGGTCCTAGAACGAATAATAGCAATCTGTATTGTCTCGACACTCGTCTAACGTGACACTGATCGAGGGGCGGGAACGCGACAACAACGAGGCTGCCACCATGCTCTGGACGTCGAGATTGGGGGAGTGAGAGGGTCCCTTTTACAACCCATGGGGGTCGCTGAGTATTAATAAGGTAAGAACTCAATAACCTTTTATCGTGAACGGTGCCTCTAACTTTTTGACGGCCATAGTCCTGGATGGACCTACTCAATATGTCGTGAGATTCCTGTAAAAACGCTTACAGCAATACGAACAGCTTCTGTGCTTTGGACTATCAAACCTTGACAGCTTGAATATCATGATGTCACTGTGGGAAATAATTAATATTTATTCATGGTCATGAGGAAGGCTATTCATATATGCAGGAATTTGGATTGGAACTGTAGCCGTCTACTTCATCGACTCTTCGAAAATGTCATCTGGGGAATTGGCTCTCCATCGATGTACAAATCGTGAACAACGCCGGTTTTCTTGCGACCACTACTTGTCGCTCTGATTTTGCACACATGACGGCCCACTTCAAAGTGCGTCTCCGTACCATCTTCGACAAATTCGCCCTAAACAGGTCAAATGGAACACCTGTGAAAAGAATTAGGGAATCTAAAACGAATACTTACTGCAGTATCAATCTTGTTGCCGTTCACCCACACTTCCATTGTTTCTTTGTCTGAAAAAAAAA